GCTACCAGAGAAACAGCCACTCTATGCACTCTGTTAAATAGTACATGGTAGGACTACTTTTCTTCCTGATTTGATCTGCAGTAGGCAGAACCCACCAAAAGAAAGTAGTGAAAATTTTATCAGGGATATGATTTAGGAATTACTTTTCAGCTGTGCTTTCATGATGACAAATGATGATGACAAATGATGACAGAGAAAGGAAAAAGGGTCCAATATCAGGTAAATTTGCACTAAGCAGCACAAAAGGATGAAATCCTCCCTTGATGCCCATGGATAAGTTTTAGTGCAAGATCCTTTAAGCAATGTCTTGCTTATACGTGTATATATATAAGATGGATTTTCCAGCAACATAATTTCCCCATACAGTTGCCACATTTTTGTATCATTACCTTCTAGTCTTCATTTATATTTTCTGTTTTGTAGAAAGTAAGCAGTCAAGATCCCATCTGTGTTTGAAGGTCATAGCAAAATGTTCACTGCTAAACTATAGCAGGAATGCATTTCCAGAAAGGAATGCTTTGTCTGTGAGCATTGACAGTAGTTGTCTTGACTCACGTAATGCATATGTATACTTAAAGAATGTTTGAAGAATCTTGCAGAGATAAAAATATGAGTCAGGTTTCAAACTGAGATAGACAAAACAGTAGGAGGAAGTACAGTCTTCTGTCTCTATGCCTTTTGAGGACACAGGATACTTTATTAGACTATATGTTAGATATACAAATAATCTAGCTAGCTAGCTAGCTATGAGACCTGCAACTGTTCACGTTGCCCATTGATCTGTAGTTAACACCTGAGCCAGTTCTGACTTCGAGAGAAAATAAAGCAGGCCTGTGGCCCTGGGAATTCTGAGATGAAAACCAGAATTTCCTCCAAAGTGATCAAGCTGTAGAAAATCATATCTGTAACAGTGTTACTTTTACATGCTGTAAAAACAAGATACATATGAAATTAACAAGTGAAGAACACACTGATATCACATCGGTTTGGGGACCTTTTCTGAAATGCTGAATGTTCATATTATTTGATTCTGACAGCTTGTTCCTGTCAGTAAATAAGGATTAAGAAACCCCATGGCATATACAATTGTATGATTTGTCATTTGTTGCAAGGGCTTGGAGAATGGTTCAGTGTAGACAAAAGCATCGCATTTGTGTGTATGTGTAAACAAGGGAACTGTATTTTGTTAAAAATAAACTCCTTTGGAATAGCTCTGTCAATTAAACAGTATCAATAATTTCCTGAATTTCTAGAAAGAAACCTGACAAAACCCCCTGAAATTCACTTAATTAATTTAATCCATTTCACTCTCATGTTTTAAAGGTGATCATCACTACAGCTCCTGCAAGGACCTCCCTCTCCCTCTCCCTCTCCTTCTCCCTCTCCCTCTCCTGTGTTTTTTGATTTCCTGGTGAATTTTCTGCTGGAGTAAACCTGAAATAAGTTAGACATTCAAGTAAATCAGCCCAATTCCAACCTTTTCTGTTCAATGTTACTTAAGATGTATGAAATTAAATGGAGAATGTTTGCTGGAGGGACATCCTGAGAAGTCTGGAGTGAACTTAGGCATTTTAAATGTTTCTGAAAAACTCCTGCCACTGGGCCAGTCCTTTTCCTGCAATGAGTAAGCAGACTCTTCTGACTGCAT